TGTGTGTGTGTGTGTGTGTGTGTGTGTGTGTGTTTACATGAGTATGGAGGTCAGAAGACAACCCTGAGCAATCGACTTTCTCTTATCACCATGTTGGTCTAAGGGATCAAACTCAGGCATCCTGTTTGATGAATAAAGAATCTGAAAACAAGTTAATTATTATTTAATGCTTACAGTATTTATGGAAGAGAAGCTGTAGACGTAGTCACCATGGCTGATCTCAGGGCTCTTTTCCAGTTTCAACACATCCAGAAGTGAAGCTATTGGCAAGACCTGGCCTGGTTTTCAGATCTCAAATGCAGGCCTCCTGGGGTCTGGCTCTTATTTGCAAGGCTGGCTTATCCTATTAACAGAATCAGCAGCAGCAATAACTTGCCAACCCCTCCTGCCAGCCCCATGACAAGCCCTTCTTTCTCTGAGCCTAGATCTAACATCTCACCACTTGAGCGGTGAAAGAGTCCCCTGCTGTTGATTGCCTCTTACCATCAGTAATTATGTCCCCAACGTCATCCCTTGTAAATATTATTTAATATTCCCAGGGCACTGTGACATGTTGGTCTCTCTAGCTAATCAGACATTGCCTTGACTGAAATACCATCCCCTGCTGAAGTGACTGGAAACAGTCAAAGTCAAAACAAACAGTGAGTCACACCTGCAGACTCCAACATAATGGCAATGCTCACCTGAGCTGCCCGGAATCCTGGAGCCCTTGTGGTCCTTAATCGTCTCAATTTCCTGTTGAGCACAGACATCTCAGATCTTATGTCTCCCTCCCCTGGGCAGGATTAGTCCCATTAGACCCATCTGGACCTTTCTTGCTATGAAGTGGCCATGGTCTGGGGCCTGGTGCTTCTCCCCCAGAGCCCTGGGCTCCTGCTCTGGACTGTCTTGCTGTGATGTGGGATAAGCCAGAAATCAAGGCTGTTGCTGGGCCTGCTTGCTCCCTGCCCTCGTCCTGCCTTCAGCCCCCTCCTTGCTGGCCAGGCCTACTCCATCCTGACACATTCTGGTGGTCTGTGCAGCATTCTCTGATGACAGGCCCCAGGGAGGTCAGACTGTGTTAGCAGCACTCAGCTGTCTGATGTCCAGGACCTGTCAGGATCCAGGGGTCCCCTTTTCTTGGATCTTTGGCTTCTTCCTTCCCCTCTGTCACTTCCCCCCAATGTTGACTGAATGCTGACAGAATTCCATCTTGAAAGTAAACTTGAAAGAATTGCAGGGCCTTCCCCAAAGAGCAGGCGGGGGTGAGGGCATGTGGAAGAGGTGTGCATACTGAGAGCACAGTGGGGACCCGGGGAAGAGACCAGGGGAACAGTCAGGCCACTCCTGATCCCACCACCCTTCACCGGTGTGTGCCACATCCCAGAGCTTACCTTCCAGTGTGGGGAGCAGATAGGAGCAGAGTATATGAGCAATAAGAACGTCTTTGGGCTGAGGGAGCAAGGTAAGGGAAATCAAGTCCTAGCAGGGTGAGCAGAGATGCTCCCATTTGAATGGGGTCAGTTTCGAGCAAAGGTCAGGGAGGAACAAGTCAGGTATCTGGAGGAAGTTTTCTAGGCAGAAGCAGCAGAACCCAGGCCCTGTGGCCAGGGGCAAAAGTGAGGAGGATGTGGAAAGCGGAATGACCCAAGGGGGGAATGGGAGAAGGAATCGGGTCGGAGGGGACGGGACCGCCCCGGGCTTACACCTGTAGCTGAGGTGTTTAGGTGGAAGAGAGACAGGGTCTGACTTGTTTTGACAGCGCTGCTCTGATGGACACAACTGTGGCAGCTAGGGTGGACACAGGAAACCTGTGAGGAGCTGCGCCACTGTCCAGGTGAGGTGATCCTCTGACCCAATCGGGGAGAACAGCACCCCTCCACCTGCTCCGTGTCTTGATTCAATTACAGGAAGACGACTGGGCACCTCCAGAAGGCCAGTCACCCCAATTTTCCTGATGTCACAGACGACCTCTGTGTCTGTCTGCTCTCCCAATCTCTCCGTGGACTCTGACGGCCCTTCTCATTCTCACAGATCCATGTGGGGCAGAGAGGAAGTGTTGTGAGGTCTGTCCCAGGTCTAGGGACAGGGTGACAGTGAGGACTCGTGGTTCTGTTGAACCACGAGGTAAGTCAGGCCCCTCTCGGCTGTGGTACACCTGTGTGGATGTTCCTGAGGGGCACCAAGGAAGGTCTCTGCGGGACTAACAGTTAGGAGTGGGCGAATGCTTCCTGGTCAGGAGCCACGCAGGCATTTCTTCTAGTAACCGGAACCGGCATGTGTTGGGGCCCTGCTCACTGGACACTGACTGCCCTGGGTCCTTCACCTACTGCCCTCAGTCTAGAGCACTGGAGCTTCGGGGACGGCGTCATCCTTTCGTGGACAGATAAGGGAGCCAAGGCCAAAGCCGCCAGGCACGTCCTCTCAGCCACCAGCCCTGATCATGTGACCTGCGATGTATCCACAGAGGTTCTGAGGAGACCTGTGCTGTCACTGGACAAGGTGGTAAGCAGACGCCTGGCCTCTTGCTCATGGTTCACACCAGACCGTGCCCATATTGGGCCTGTGGGCACACTGGACCAGACACAGGAGGAAGGAACAGCATCAGACCCAGAGAAAGCTCTGTCTGCCCTGCTCCTGTGGACCTCGGCCTACCAGGGGGCTGCCTAGGCCAGAATGCCCTGCATGGAAACCTCTCCTCCCTCAGACCTTGTCCTACCAGAGTTGCTGGAGAGCTTTGCAGAAGGCTTTTACGTGAGAGAAAGATGCTGCCTGATGAGGGATAAATTCTCTGTTGCTGGGAGAGGATACCATGGTTAAGGTGACTTAAAGAAGGATGGGCTTATTTGGGCTTGTAGTTCTGGATGGATGAGTCCAGCACCACCACTCTATAAGCAGGGCAGAGAGAGTGAACTGGGAATGGCATGTGGCTCTTGACACCTCGAAGCCCACTCTCTGTGACACACTTCCTCCTGCCACACCTAAGCCTCCCCAAACAGTGCCACCAACTAGAGACCAAATATTCAAACGCTGGAGACCCTCAGAGACATCTCATTCAAAGCTTCTAGGGGCTGAGCCGATGACCAGAGGCCTAACACCTGTTTCCTCTAGCAAGCCACACGGCGATGGGCAGCACCAGTGTGGGAGGGTGAGCTTGCCCATGGCTTGCCATGGCATAGGAACAAGTACCACAGATCCTCCAGTGAGAATTATAGGGTGGAGCTCCAGGAACTGCCTCACTGGCTTTCAGCCTCCAAACTTGAAAACCGGAACACAAACCTGCTCTCTTAGCCCCGCCCAAAGGCCGGCCACGGAAGTGAATGAGTGCCAGGGCAGGCCAGGGGCGCATCCACCCAGAACCAGGAAAGCCTGTCCTCCTGCTGGACACTACAGGGAGAACA